CAGAAAGCATATCATACAGAAAGTCAGGCTAGATTCAGATGAAGGAGAAGTAAAAACTATTGTAAGAAACATCAATAATTTAAGATATGCAGCTGTCACCATCTTAAAGGCAGGGAGCAGCAATGATTTGAAATGACTTTTAGTGAAAGTAAAAGATGAAAATGCCAAAGCAGGACTGCAGTTGAATATTAAGAAGACCAAGCTCATGACTACAGAAGAACTACATAACTTTAGCACTGACAATTGAGAAATTGAAATAGTTAGAGAGTTTGTATACCTTGGTTCAATCATCAACCCAAGAAGTCAGAAGGCTGAGACTAGAAAGAAGAGAAAATATCATTGAGTGTATGGATATGTCACTGGAAACCAAGACCAAGATCGTCCACACTCTTGTGTTTCTGATCACCAAATGGGTATGAAAGCTGGAGAGTAAACAAAGCTGATAGGAAAAAAATGATCATTTTGAAATATGGTGCTGGAGGAGAGCTTTGCAGATACCCTGGACTGCCAGGAAGATGAACATGTGGATCCCAAATCAAGTCAAGCCTGAACTATCTCTGGAGGCAAAAACTTTGAAACTGAGGCTGTCCTATCTGGACACATTATGAGAAGGCAGGATTCTCTGGAAAAGACAATAATGCTGGGAAAGGTTGAAGTTAGTAGGAAAAGACGAAGACCAAATATGAAGATGGATTGACTCTCTAAAGGTGTCAGGGCTTAGGTTTACAAGAGCTGGAGCAAGGCCATTGAGGACAGGACATTTTGGAGATCATTCATTCATAGGGTTGCCCTAAGTAGGAAGTGACTTGACAACTGTGGTAAGGGGCTAAAACTGGATTTAGCCTGAGATACTTAGAGTATAGCTGTTTTTGATGTTGACCTTGGAGATGATGTTTCTAGATTCTAGAACAGCTGCTCCTAGTGCTGCCAATCAAAGCAGGTTATACAGCTATTTCTTTTCTTTACATTAATATATTTACTGTGGAATGAAGGAGGACATGTGCAATGAGGAGAACACATTGGAGGGTAAGAAGTGGAAGATGATGTCTAGAAACCCTAACATTCCATGAACAAAGCAAAGCAACTACACAATAAAAGCCTCACAAAATGGAAACCTCCTGCGCTTCAGACACTGCCCCATGTTTTGTAGGAATGCTTAGGGTTTTCATCTAAGGTGGTGGTGGGTGGGTGGGGGGAATATAGGTCTAAAAGTCAGTGGGAATCTTGTGGCAGATCTGATGAGGATCTGAGTTGCACCTTGCCTTTGTGACAGAGCTGCTCTGTATGTAATTATCTTCCGAAGCTGCTGGAGGGATTTTATATGGCTTGTAAAGTAAGAAAAATTTGGTTCAGGAACTGAAATATTCAGCTGAATTCTCAAAGTGCTTAAGAACTGCTCTTTGGCATTAATATGTAAGTGTGACTGAAACCAGGATATTAGAGATATTTGGTGCAGTTAAAAAAAAAAGACCAGTGGATTTTATTAGAGTTTTCCATGAAACTGAAGTTTATTAAATGTAAAAGATATTTGAAAAATGTACCAGTATTCAAATATAATAACACCCCTGTGGTGTTTTACTGAGGATGGAATGAGGCTCATAAGTTGCTTATTCTAGTGTGCTAAATGCACCATTATTAATAAAAACAGATGCAAAATTCTAAGTCTAGATGATGACCTTCCAGAGGTTACTTAACAGCAGCTGAATTTCAACCTAACCTGAAGGAGGGTCCTAAGGGCCTTATAGCAGAATGGAACTTCTGAGATTACCAGTCAGTTTTTATTATCCTCTGTCCTCACTTTATGTATGTACTCAAGAATGTTTTAATATGGCCTTTCATTCAATTTAGAATCCCATGGTGATTTACAATCCATTAAATAACAGTTCAGCATAAAATGTACATAGTATTACTCATGAAATTATAGATATAAACATAAATAAAATAGGATCAAATCATTCCAAAGTGGTGTACAGGGCAAGTTAAAAATAAAAATACACTAATAAAAATGCTATAAGCAATATTAAAAGTTGACATTGGAAAGGATCCATTCCACAAGGATATCCAAGAGAAATGATAAAAGGCCCTGTGGGAGGAGGAGGACCCCCTGGTGATTTACACCCTTTTATCTCTCTCCTAGAACCCTTCCTGCAGAGCAGATTAGTAGTACATTGAGAGAACAGCTGAGGCCCCTCCTCCAACATCTGACATCTGTTTCTTACCTCCAGTTTAGCTGTGTCTCATTTGCCAAAAGTCAGCCAGCCATGTTGGTTGACCATGGACAGACATAGCAGCAGAAGCAGACATTCATTTCTCCAACCACTCTATTGCCTTCATCACAATGAATTTGGCATCTTAGGGGTCCACTAGTAACAATAAGCAGCATGAGTCAGTGGTACAGCTCTTTTTCAATGAAGTAGACATACTAATCTGTTTCAACATATACAGTATGTTTTTATGTGATGTCAAGTCACCTCCAACTTATAATGATCCTATGAATGAGCAGTCTCCACAATGTCCTGCTCTCATTTGTCTTGCTCAGCTCTTGTACACACAAGCCTGTGGCTTCCATTAGGGAGTCAGTCCATCTTGTGTTTGTATCTGGTCTTCCTCTTTTCTTGTTGCCTTCCACCTCTCACCTCTTTGTAGGGAAGCTGCTTGCCCATGTTGTGCTGAAGAGGCTCCAGGTGCTTACAGACAGAGTGTATATAGAATCACAGTGTGTGGATTTTGAGCGAATAGATCCACCATCAACATGTTATTTTCCCTCAGACAGTTGCAGGAGAAATGTAGGGAACAATGACAGCCACTCTTTGTGGCCTTCATAGATCTTACAAAGGGCTTTGATTTGGTGAGCAGGAATGCCCTTTTTAAAATACTTCCCAAGATTGGATGTCCACCTCGACTCCTCAACATCAGATCCTTTCATGAGGAAGTGAAGGGCACTGTAGTTTTTGATGGCTCAACATCATATCCAAAATGGAGTGAAACAGGGCTGTGTCCTCGCGCTGACCCTGTTTGGGATCTTTTTTGCTTTCATGCTGAAGCACGGTTTTGGAACTGTAACAGAAGGTATCTATCTCCAAACTAGATCAGATGCAAAGAATGAGCTGGAATTGTTAGGATGTATACTTTTAATCTCTCTAGATTGATAGTGAAGACCAAAGTCCAGCTGAAATGCATGCGGGACTTCCTCTTCACCGATGATGCAGCTGATGTTGCCCATTTTGCTGAAGAACTCAAACAACTTATGAATCATTTTAGTATGGCATGCTAAGATTTTGGATTAACAATCAGCCTGAAGAAAACACAAGTCATGGGCCAGGGCGTGGACTCACCTCCCTCTATGTATTACCATCTCTACATAAGAATTGGAGG